GGACATCAAAAGGCTGACAAATGAGGTAGAGGGAAGAAACATGACCCTTTCAGGTATGGCTAGTGGGCTTATTTGTTTTGTGTGGCTAGAGCTATTTGTTACAAGTAAGCACATCTATTTGGGGGCAAGGGGAATTATGTAGGGATAGGGATGGAGAATAGTGATATAAAAAGAAAAAAGCAACAGTGAAACACTAAAAAAACAAGAAAGCAGAAGGAAATTCAGAAGGGGAAACAGACAAAGAGGGGACATTACTATCATTTTAAATTTCATATACACTTTAAAAATTCCAAACTGTATGTAAATTTACAGTTTTGCATACAATCTTCTTTTCTATTCTCTGTATATTGAAATGTTCATGCTGATTGATGTTCATTAGGTTCATACTAAAAAAGAACCATGTTTCTCTGAGGATGAAGTGTCTCTTTCTCCATGGAAGAAGCCCTTGCCACCCTCCGCCTGTTGGCACCCTGGGGCAAAGCCTTGGTTGTACCATGCTAATTCTATCTCTGATAATCCCTCTTTCAGAAGATAATCTTGCAAATACTAGAAGTCAGCTATCAGGTACACTTTTCTCTATCCAAGTCTGATTTTTTGAGACTAATTACACTCATTTCCTTCAACAGAGAGGGTGCAGCCTATAAGTCTCTCACTATTTTGGTCAGCCTCCTCTGGACGTGCTCAGGTTTGTCAACGTCCTTCCATAAATGTGGTCCCTAGAACTGAACACAATATCTTAGATGTGGTGTGCCCAGAACAAATACAGCAGAAAAATACCATGCCTCATTCTAGACCCTGTCCATGGGCTAGTGTAGTCTAATATTGTCTTAGTTTTGTGGCTGATAAATTATCCTTGTAATCATGCTGTTCACTGTAACCTTCAGATCTTTTTTTTCCCATGCTGTCTAATCATTCCTCCCCCACCCCCCATTCCTCCCACACATCCTCTATAGATTTGATTGCAACCAATCAAAAAACCACATCCCTATTAAATTTCATCTTATTAGATTTGGAATCTCATTCTAACCTGACAAGATCGTTTAGCATCCCAATCCTGTTATTCTATGTGTTTACTTTCTGCCCTAGCTCCTAGCCGTTATCTGCACATTTGAAAAGCATGCATTCTGGGACTTCGTCCAGCGCATTGATAAAAATGCTGAACAATTGATCTCTGGGGCACTCCACTAGAGACCTTTCTCCAAGTTGACAAGCCTGGACCTTCACTACTGAGTTTTAAAATTTCATATTACTTTTTATCATGCCACCCAGAAGTCTTCTGGGCTGCCTCTCCCTGCCATTAATTGGTATGGACTCAGGAAATGCAAATTCATTTTTATATAACAGTCTTAATAGAACATCATTAACAGGTTAAATCTCTCAACTTGCACAGTCTTATGGCAAAGGACTTTTGGATTGTCCTGTCAGTTTCTCCCTTTTTTCAATATGGGTTCACGAGAGCATGAAATTTGCAAGAAATTAAAATTTTTCCTGTGCTTGTGCAGGAGAATGATGATATCTCATGAGCTGACTAAGATCTGCATTGAAGCCTAGGAATAGAAAGAATGCAGATCCCTTTTATTAAAGAGGCCTCTGAATAAAGTATGTCTGATGGATTCTATTCATTACTACAGAGCTGTCCCCCTAAGAGATATTCTCCAATTGTCAAGATAACAAGTGGTCTACAAACAGGTGATGCTGTATAAATGCTAATGATGAATCCTCCTGACTGAAGTAAAATGAAAGCTTGGATTTCTCTGCAAACCTACTTGGCCTGTCCCTTCTGTCCCTTCCTGATGAGATGCTACGAACACCAGACCCTTGGACCCCCTTTGATCTATAATGGGCTAAGTCATTCATCTGAGAGCCTTCCCTTCTCCCTATAACAGATGGGCCAGGGACATAAAAGAGAAAGCCTGAACATCCTTGTTCTTTTGGAATTGCTAGGAAAGTTTACATAATTCTCTGGAACCAAGTTCAGCATTTGTTTGGGGCACAAGACAGAGGTTTTCCAGATTAGATGACTCAGAGAGAAGCCCCAAGGGAAATAAGCTATTTGGTGGTCTCATATCTGGCCTCTACTAATTGGCAATGGCCTCTTGAGGTCAAAAGCTTTAGAGCTGGAAAGATTCTTGGAGGTTATTTAGTTTGACTGCCTCATTTTAGAGATGAGGAAACTGAGGCTAGAGAAAAATGAATTATTACTATTTCACTGTTTTTGTTAGTTTCAAACTCAAGCCCTAATCCAAAGGCTTTCATTTTCTATCTCTCCTTCAAGCACCACATTCATAGACTCGCAGAATGATAGATTTGAAAGGGACCTTTGTGATCAATAATCCAGCATCCTTGTTTTCAGGTGAGGAAACTGAGGTATAGGGTTTTTTTTTTTATTTTTGATGACTATGAATGAATCAAAAAATATTTATTAAGCACTTACTGTATGGCAGGTACTGTGCTAAGTGTTAGGGATAGAAATATAAGCAAGATAGTCCCTTGCCTTCAAGGAGTTTACATTCTAATGGGAGAAGAAAATACATAAGGGGGACCTAGAGAAGTGGGTAGGGGCAGCTAGGTGGCACAGTGGATAGAGTTCTGGACCTGAAGTCAGGAAGACTCATCTTCCTGAGTTCAAATCTGGCCTAAGACACTCACTAGCTTTGTGATCCTGGGCAAGTCACTCTACCCTGTTTGCCTCAGTTGCCTCATCGGTAAAATGAGCTGGAAAAGGGAATGGTAAACCAGTTCAGTATCTTTGCCAAGAAACCCCAAATGGGGTCATAAAGAGCTGGACATGACTGAAAAACCACTGAACAGCAACAAAAGAGAAGAGAGTAGCACTGTGACTCAGTTCCTGGCAAGATAAGACAAAAGCTTGCCAGAAAGGAATTGGTAGGATGGCCAAAGTTTAGGCCACTTGGTTTAGAAATGGCTAGGAACATACAATGATCTAAGACAATCCCAAAGGACTAATGATGAAGCAGAATATCCACCTCCAGAGAAAGAACTGATATTGATTGTAAAAGACTTAAGTATGGTATTTTTTAACTTTATTTCATTTTTTTCCTTTTATTCAAGTCTTCTTGTACAAACTGACTAATATGGAAATGTATATGTATATGTATAACCTGTATCTGCTTACCATCTCAGGGAGGGGGGGTGAGGGAAGAGAGGGAGGGATAGAATTTGGAACTCAAAACTTTAAATTAAAATGTTAAAAAATTGGGGAAAAAAAGAAATGGCTAGGAAGTAGCATGGCAGTTCTAGATATGATAAGGCTCACCTATCAGAGTCCAGAGTCCAAGTTCCAATTAGAAAGGGGTGAGGGTCATGGCTTTTAAGGCTCTTTCCAAGTCTAAAGCTGTGACCTTATAATCATTCTAGTCATCCAGGTACACAACTTGAAATCACCCTTGACTTTCCAGTCTTCCTTACCTGTTCACATCTAGCCAGTTGATAATTCTTGTCAATTCTATTTCCATAATATTTCTTGCCAGAGAATCTGCATGATGTACTGGACAGAGAGCCAGCCTCAAAGCCAGGAAAACTAGGATTGAAATCCACCTCTGACGCATATGGACTGTGTAATTTTGGGCATGTCACTTAACTTCTCAATGATCTAGGCTAGAGGTGTCCAACACCCAGCCAGGAACTCCCCAGTGTGGCCTGAATCTGATTAAAATGTAACTAGGAAATGTTTAACAAAATAAACAAAAATACAATAGAACATAGATGATGTTATTTTGTGATTTTTCTAAGACAATATGTGGCCTGCAAGGATCCTTATGTGCAGTTTAGTGGCGCCCTATCTATTTGAGTTGGACACCGCTGATCTAGGCGACGCTCTAAGATTATAAGTTTCAGAAAAGATGACCTTCATTGGCAGAGGGAGATTCCTCCCCTGGGAGTCTGCTATACCAATGAAATCACAGAACCAATCTTTATCCTTGTCCTCAATATGTCTTTCATCCATCCCCCTTTTTCTCACATGACTAGCACCTTACTTCAGGTCCTTCCCAACTCTCTCCTGTAATCTCATAGTTCTTCCTAATTGCTCTCCCCATTTCTACATAGTTGCCAAAAAAAAATTCTTCCCGAAAGTCAGGTCATACCATGTTAGTCCCTTACTCAATAGTCTTTTAGGGACTCCTTCTTGCTTCTAGGATAAGCCCAAACATATCTGCTTGATAGTTAAAGCTTTCCAGTCTGGCTCAGTCTACCTTTCTATGACTCCTTTTTTTATATACTCTCTACATACCAGCCAAATTGGCTGGCTTGCTGTTCCCAGAGCCCAGCATTCCCTCTTCTCCTTTCATGTCATTATTCATGACGCTCCCAATGCAGGGAATACACACCTCCTCTCTAAAGGAAAGTCCTTGGACAAGACACAAGGGATAGATGCAAATGTTGACTAGCATAGGGCCAAAGTCAGGTCCCCATGGGATGAGGAGTGAGAAGGAATATTCAGAGAGGATTCTAAGGTTGCCATTCTGGGTACCAGATCTGTTACCCCTCTCCCCTAGGGATCTGACTTTGACCCTGTGCTGCTCAACATTATTATTATTATTATTATTATCATTATTATTAGCTATCATTTATATAACACTTTAGGGTTTGCAAAGTGTTTTATAGAAGTTAGTTCATTTGATCACCACAAGAACCCTGTGGTGCTATTAATATTACTCCCAATTTATAGATGAGAAATCTGAGGCTGAGAGAGTTTAAATTACTTAATCAGGATAACACAGCTAGTAAGTCTATGAGGCAGGATTTGAACCTAAGCCTTCCCAAGTCCAAGTATATCATTTAATCCTCTCTTCCACCCAGCTGCCTGCAATGATAGAGGGTCACATGTGGCCTCCAGGCCGCAGGTTCCCTGCCCCTGAGTGTTCTTTCCAACTTATAATGGTTTCACCTTATAACCCTACATCTTGAGTGATAAAATAATAAAAATGATGATGATAATAGTGATAATAATAAACATAGTGATTTTACTTTCAAAATACCTGAATTGTTTCACGGAGTTCTCACCAGCAACATTATTAGCCTCACTTCCTAAATGAGGATTTTGAGGCCTGGAGAGATCAAGTGGTTTGTCCAATCCAATCCAACAAGAACTTATGAAGTGCCTGTTATATTCATTGGGCCTTGAGCTGGGTGCTGAGGATTCAAAGATAAAAGGGAAAAAGAATTGCTATCTTTTTTTTTTCTTTTTGGTGAGGCAATCAGGATTAAGTGACTTGTGCAGGGTCACACAGCTAGTAAGTATCAGGTGTTGGATTTGAACTCAGATCCTCCTGACTCTAAGGTTGGAGCTCTATCTACTGTGCCACCCAGCTGCCCCTCCAAGAATTTTGATCCTTAAGGAGTTTTCATTGCCCTAGATGCCAGATGCCTTATTCACTGAGGGGAAGGGAGGTAAGATGGGTGAACACCAACTAATTAAGCCACAGAGTATTTTAGATCACAAACCCTGAAAGCCTTTAAACTATGATGTAACTATTGGCTTCGGAGCCAGATGAAGGGAAGAGGATGCTGGGGGCTGGGGAGCTGAGGGGTGGGCTGCAGCCAGAAGACTCACTCAAGGCTCTGTTTGTCTTGTGGCTGCCAGGATACTGCTGTAGCCTTTCCCAGGTTTCAGCATGACAGATGCCCCTGGCTAATTGGCTACTCATTTGGGCTGCGTCCTTTGAGGATTCCCCATCACAGGGATGAGGAAATAACAAAACCTCACGCATTACTTTTTGGTATTTGGACAGAAACAAATACCCTATTAGTAGAACTGTGGTCAAATCCCATAGTTACTTTGTCATTTAAAGAAAAAAAAGAAGAAAACAACCAAGCACAATTTCAATTAAAGTGAAAAGCAAATGGAGAAGACAATTAAATACAATTAAATGCTGTCTGTTTTTCGTGGAAGGCCAGGCTCACTGTACAGCATCTGTTGTTGTTCGTCCTTCGTGTTCTCAAAGAGGGCCATGACATCAGGAAGGTGATGCCATGACTTGCAAGTGAATTGGATTTAAGTGAGGGAGGGCTGTGCAAAGTCACCAGCCTCACTTTCTCCTCCGGAGCCATCTGGGTCCACTGCATCTGATAAGTGGCTGAAGGAGTTGGTCTTTCCTAGGGGAGGTTTCTCTTTGGAAAAAATTCAGGGGCAAAAGCATTCTTCATTTGAATGAAGTTTTCAATATGCATTTGAACAAATTAGCAATTCAAAATGATGCAGAGAATAAGGAGCTGACAACAAGTTACAAGCAGAGAGTATGGTTTTTCAAAGGTCTGGTGTGTTTGTCTTTCTCTGGAGTAATTCAACAGAGAGAGAAATGGGTTTGCTAAGCAATCATTTCAGCCAGGAAGCTGGAAGATTTTTGGATGGCCTTTTCTTCTATTCTGGCCAGATTTGCTACCCCCCACAAGAATCAAAGGAGCAAGTGGCCCTCAGAGCTGAGAAGCTGACAAAGGCCACTTCCCCCGGCTCCCTAAATCTATTTCATTTCAGTTTTAACTGTGGATTGCCTGTGGATATGCAGCTTATATTCTCCAGAATTATGGAGACTGTTTATTCCTATTATTCCTTTTGATGTTATTTGTGTTAATTATCTGCATCTGAAGATTTGCACATGTGCTAATCCTATACCAAGATCGGTCTTTGAGATGACTGGAAATGAAGGTGATATGATCTGAGGAGGGGAACTGATTATATAAAAAGAACACGAGATTTGAGATGGACAGTTCTAGGGCTGGGCCCTTGGAGAATGTCAGGCATGAGACATTAAAAGAATAGCAATAAAAGAGGAGCCTAGTAACTCTCAGGAGAAAGAGAAAAGTGACAGAGGAAGTAGCTGAAAACAATAGATACGTCTGTAGTTGCCTCTGTACTGATGCATGCATATAGCATGGGTAATAATACTTAGGGCAGCGCTTCATTGGTACCCACAAAATAGGCAAAGAACAAGCCCTCCAGGGCATTGGGTAGCTAGATCTTCTATGGAAGACTGATGTAAAGAATAGTCTAGGATCAGGAAGAGGGGATGGGTTTCTGTCTGTATCCTTAAAGGGAGTGCCCCCTTAGATGAGCACACTAAAATACCAAAGCATTTCTTTGTGAACTGGGGGCTATATGTTTTTATCTCATTTGTGCTCTGATATCAGAGAATTATCATATGTATATATGTATATATACGCATATATGTATGCACACATATCATATGTAAATACATACATATGAACAGATAACATTTCCATGTATTCTACACATACATAGACATATATGATTATATATACATGTATACACCTGTGCTTATATATGTATATGCTATTACTATCTTGCAAATTAAGAAATTGAGGCTCCTAGAGGTAATATGACATCGTACATAAAGATCTGTGCAGACTTTGGACTTAGAAAAGGGGCAGCTAGGTAGCACAGTGAATACAATGTGAGGCCTAGAGTCAGGAAGACCTGAGTTCAAATCCTGTCTTAGACATTTCTTAGCTGTGTGACCCGGGGCAAGTCACTTAACTCTGTTTGCCTTAATTTCCTTATCTGCAAAATGAGTTGGAGGAGTGGAGGAGGAAATGACAAACCACTCCAGTATCTTTACCAAATGGGGTCACAAAGAGTTGGACATGGCTGAAATGACCGAACAACAACAAAATGGACTTAGAAAACCACATATTAACACTACCTGGGTTCCATTGTTTTTTTATTTATTTGGTTAAATATTTCTTCATTACATTTTAATCTTGTTCTGATAGTATGTTTGACAGTTCTGCTCTAAGTCACAGGACTGGTAAGTGACAGAGCTGGGACTCTGGCCTAGGTCTTCTGAAGCCAAAGCAATGGCCTTTCCATCACATCATATGTGCACGAGTACATGCATATATGTGCATGTATACATACTATGTGTACATGTAATATATGCAGTGCATATAAGCAATATGCAATGCCTTATAGATTTACCCGTGTGTACAATGCACACATGCATGATGCAGTTATGTAACATGTCATGTGTACATATTTGTATCATAAATATGTTATAATGTATAACACATATATATGTTATAAGTTATACCCATGTATACTTATACATATACACTGCATATACATATATATACACACATGGGGTATAATGGAATGAGCATTGTTTTGGATTCCCAAGATTCTCAAGAATTGCAATTACTTAGGGGACATTGTCTTCTTTCTCTAAGCCTCAGTTTCTTCATTTGCAAAATGGGAGTAACAACCCTTTAAAATGTGGCTGTTGTAAAGATCACAGGAGACAACCTAAAGAAAGTCCTTTATAAGCCATCAACTGTTATATAAATGTCAGCTATTATTATGGATATATCATTAAATGATAAACGAGCTCAATAATTAAATCAAAATGACAAACCATTGTATCTTCTAGATACCCCAAGGGAGGGATTCCTTGGGCTGATGCCAGTTTGTCAGTGAGGACAGGGGAATGTAAGAGAGGAGATAAGAAGGATGCCAGAGGGGCACAGTGAAGGAGATGAAGAAAGAATGTGAACAGATGAGAAAACATGAACATTCATACATAGACCCCGGCAAGAGCCAGGGAAAGCAATCCTGGGTAAACAAACACAGGCGTGAGATAGCCAGAGGGGAAACTAACGAGTGAAAATGAGATCCTCAGAGAGTCAGCAAGATGGCAACGGACATTACTCCGGGAGACTGATGGAAGGGAATCAAAAGCAACGAGAAAAGGCAGAAACAAGAATCAGAGAATGAGGGAGGCAGGGAGAGCCAGAGAAAAATGGAGCCTTAGAAAGAAGTAGTGCTGCTGGGTGGTAGAATGAAAGGAGCACCACCGGCCCTGGAACAGGCATTCTGGGCCTGTTCTATAGTTGTGCCATTCATTGTTCTTTTTTTCCCTTAATGTAATATCTGTATTTCAACATAAGTGCTTTCATTTATAATTCTATATAGTTGATTTTATCGAGTTAGAAACCTGATTCTGAGAAGAGGCCCATAGGCTTCACCAGACTGCCAAAGGGGATCCAAGGTACAGAAAAAGGTAAGAAATTCTGCCTTAGAATCACAAATCCTGGTGCTGCTATTTGTTAGCTATAGACCTTGGAAAAATCATAACACCAAATATGAGCTTTCATTTTCTTATGAATAAAATGAGAGGTTGGACAAGCTGATCTCTAAGACCAATAGTAGTAAAGGTAGGAAGTATGCAACACATCCCGGTGGGTTGCAAAAACTGAGCACCTACTGAATAACTAGCATGACATGAGCTGGTGGGTAGAATTATATATTAGAAGCTCTCTATATTTCACAAACTAACAGATGACAAAAATACAGGATTCAAAATAGTCTTAAAAATTCAAAATAAATTATACTAAAACTATAACATTGTTATTCAATTGTTTTTTCAGTCATGTCCAACTCTTGGTGACCACATTTGAGGTTTTCTTGGCAAAGATACTGGAGTGGTTGACCATTTCCTTCTCCAATTTATTTCACAGATGAGGAAACTGAGGCAAACAGGGTTAAGTGACTTGCCCAGGGTCACATAGCTAGTAAGTGTCTCAGGCCAGATTTGAACTCAGGAAGATGAGTACCAGATCTAGGCCTGGTGCTCTATTCATTGTGCCACCTAGATGCCCAAACTAGAGCATTATCATGGGGAAAAAAATGAAAGAAATCCCAAAACCCTCTTGCCTACCATCTCTAGCACAGAACATGGACCCATACCATTTTTGTGTGTGTGTGTGTACTAGGCAATGGGGTTAAATGACTTGCTCAGGGTCACACAGCCATTAAGTGTCAAGTGTCTGAGGCTGGATTTGAACTCAGGTCCTCCTGACTCCAGGGCTGGTGCTTTATCTGCTGCACCACCTAGTTGCCCCCCATAACAATTTTAAAACGACATTATAGTAGTATTGCTATATCAAATACTCCCAGGAACCTAAAGGAAAAAAAATGTCAAAATATAGGTACCTAATGGAGGAAATAAAAACCATTGTGGCAATAGGAAGAAGAACACATCATCCCTATTGTCTTATCTACTACTAGAGTGGTACCAAGGATGCTTTCAGGAATCCTACAGAGAACGAGTTTCTATTCCACCAAGTTTACTAAATTACAGTAAACAGCTATTTTATCCACCTGCGCAATCATCCACGGA